AAGCAAGAGAGAGAAAATGAGGAAAGGAACTGATAAATAGAAATGACAGTTTCTAGCACAAAGATAGGGGGGGGGGATGGCACAGCCCTAATTTAGATGTTGCGAGAAGGATGTATTCTTTCCAGTCTAACACTAACCAAATGTGACTGAATTCACAAATTATTTAATTGTTACAATTTGTGTGATTTATTTAAATTAGGCCATTTTTATTTGTAGATTAGTTAATCAATGAACGCAGTAACCTTTGATGGCACCACAGAAATATACTTTAATAATAGTTAAAATCTCAGAATAATGGGAGATATTTAGTCTCTCAAAATCACACCATATTGTTTTTACATTTACTTTGGTTTGGGGGTTCTCTTATTGATATCAGAGTCATTGCAATACCAACTCCAGACTTGTTTACTGTCTGAATTCAGGCACTTGTAATTAAATAAACTATGACATAATGCAGTGTATGAGCCACAGATATTCCATAATATATTACCATCCTTCCAGGTCGCATGTACCTTTTCTATGGGAACAAAACATCCGTCCAGTTCCAGAGTTTCACCCCAACAGTCAGCTATCCTGGTGACCTACAGAACCATATCCTTTTATGTATGGTTAGTGTTTGCTGGGGTGGTTTGCAAGTCCTCAGATTTTCTGTTTGTGCACTGCTCAGAAGCACTGGTAACCTTTTCCTTAGCCCAGTTCACAACTCAATATTCAGACAAAAGCAGTGGAGCCACTGGTGGAGGGAGGGGCTCAAGTTCAACAGGTCCTGAACATTGAATGCCTGAGCGATTTCACGGAGGCACCCCTTATCAACATCAAATTCCGGTATTGTTGCTTGATATCTCAGCCTAATCTTCAATTCTAAGGAAGAAAGAGTTCCTATATTTGAGTAATCAAAGGCATTCCAAAGTGGTTACGGTCAGATCTTTGTGCTTGAACAGAAAATACTGAAGAGTCAGAATCTGAAAAGCTGGAGAGGCTGGGCCAAACTAAACAAGCAGTACTTCCAATAATCACTAATTTGCATCTTAATCTTTGCCTTGACAAGCATTTGCTTTGCTTCATACCTGTCCCCAACATTTCCGTGAGCTGCATTTTGTAAAATTCCATCAGCCACAAATTTATTATATCATATTTCTACTAATTACTTCCAAGATATACTTAGACTGGTCAATATTCAAGGAAGCCCCCAACAGAAAACAATCCCCCAAACCTGCTTTTGCTTTTGATAGTCAGGGGCCCCTAATCTTAGGAAATGGATATGGCTAGTGGTTAATAACACTAACCTCATTCTTCTTGCTTTTACCCCCCTTTTAAAGTTGTCAATAATGTTATTAAATAATATTTATTTATTTATTTATTTTCAAATATTTATATGCTGCCCAATCCCAAAGGACTCAGGGCGGCGTACAAAGTTAAAACAATCATAAAACAATAAAATAATATGAACTCATGGGTCTGTTTGTCCTCATTTCTTATTTCTGATAGCTATGGTGGGACATTGCAGAATCTCACTCTCAAATTGCCTATCACTGTCAACAAGTTTTTCCAGGCAACAGAGATGCAGTCGCAAGACTTTTTCCAGCGCTGGAAACAACTCAGCTTGTAAGTTTTCACAATATGAAATATCTGGAAATGAGGATTCACAAATGATAGTTGTATATAGGTAGTCCTTGAATTATGACCATAGTGGAGCTTGCCCATTATGGTTGCAAGGGGTAATGGTCATTAAGCGAGATGATCTTGCTTAACAAACCTTTTTCTTCCTGATTTGGCTGTTAAACGAATGTGAAGGTTGTTAAGTGGAGCAGGAGATGCTTTGTAAGTGGACGAAACCGTGGGAGCCTAGAGTAGGCCCAAGCCTTCCTGTCCTGGCCTCCCAACATCTCCCCCATCCCGAGATATCCCATTCTCTGTTTCTTGCCCTTGAAATCCCCATAATCCTTGGGTCTGCTCTCTCTCTCTCCTCCCACTGAGTCCCCACAGTCCCTTTTTCCCCCAGTCAGGTCCCCATGGGCCCTTTCCCCCATCCACCAGAGTGGAAAGTCTGCAGTGCTGTGCAACCACAGTAGGTCAGGCAGCCATGGGGTATGATTCCAGAAGCAGCCACCATTTCTTCAGCAACTAGAATTCGATGCAGTTGTTTAGAAAATGGAAATAAAAAATATTCCATGCAGCCATTCATATTGCAGTGCTCCAGAAAGCTCCTGAAATCTTCAAAAGGCAAGTTTGTAATGAGTGACAGGAGCTAAAGAGAAGGCCCAAGTCCTACTGGGACGGGGGGGGGGGGCTGTGGGGACCTGGACCTGGAGATAGGTGGGGGAAGTATTGCAGCACCCCTGTAGTCAGTTATAAAGGCAAACAACTGCAGGAGAGTTGCAACTCTTATAATTCCAGAATGGGTCATAAATAACTTTTGGAGGATCCACCATAATTTCAAAAGGTCACTAAGCAACCAATCATTAAGCGAGGACTACCTGTGTTTGTGAGAGAAAGGGGGACATGAGGTGGGTTTGTTTTTTGGAGGGGTGGGGATATTTAGAATTTTTCAGCTGAATAATCAGTGAATAAGAATACACATGACCTTGGCAAAGTTCTGCCTTTTTTTTGTATTTTATCTTTACCTTTTAAAATTGCCACTGTGACTAAATGAATGGTTCCATCATCACCATGTATGATTGAAGTACATGGTGATGATGGAACAGGATAGAATACTGTTGCATGTAACAAGATAGAATACTAGAAAGACAGGACCTGAACTACTGATCTGATACTCTTCTGCAGGCCACAACAGGAAGCTCAGAAAATCTTCAAGGCAAATCACCCCATGGATTCAGAAGTGACAAAAGCAAAGGTAGGTTGTTTTGAAAGGCTATGAAAATTTTGCAAGCTTTTATTTCAGCATACCGTAAATGCCGGCGTACAAGGCGACCCGTTGTATAAGACGACCCCCGTCTTTATAGCCGGGCCGCATTCCTAGAACGTCGTCTTATATGCCGGAAACTACCAGTATTTCCGGCGTATAAGACGACTCGGCATATAAGACGACCCCCGTCTTTGGCGCCGATTTCAGCACTCGCGGAAGTCGCCTTATACGCCGGCATTTACGGTAATTAATTCACAGTTATTTTAATTTCAGATTAGAGTATGTCTAGTAATTTGCTCAGATGAGTGAAAATTAAAGCTTTGGATATTGTGATTATCCAGAGCAATTATGGAACACATTTCCTTCAATTGTTTAGTAATAGTTTGGGAATATTAGTGTATTATATTTAGGATTGTTGATTTTTTCACTGATCACCAGATTTTTTTCTTATGAAAATTGGCATAACTTCAAGCTAGAAGAGGCAGCCATTGTATAAATGTCTATGTTGCAGACTTCTGAGACAGTTTTTGGAGGTATACCTTTCTCCCATTATTAGCTTTCTATGAGGCGTGTAATTTGCAGTGAGACCCTCTCTTATGATTGTATGAATTGAATTAAGTAACAGTCTGTTCCTCCAACAGCTGTTAGGTTTCGGCAGTGCACTCCTGGAGAAGGTGGATCCAAACCCTGATAACTACGTAGGAGCTGGGATCATCCAGACAAAAGCACTACAGGTTGGATGCTTGCTGCGACTCGAACCCAATGCTCAGGCACAGGTGAGGGCTCCTGAGACCTCTGAGACTGAAGGCCTGAATTCAGGCATACAAGTTGGCACTGAAATAAAAGCATAAAAATTGGAAAACAGATTTCTGTGAGCTCTAAGTAAAGAAGTGATAGGAAATATATACTGCTCAAAAAAATAAAGAGAACACAAACGTATAGGATCCTATACGTTTGTGTTCCCTTTATTTTTGTGAGCAGTATAGATAAAACTGAAGATGAAAAGTTGAAAGCTTACCAAAGCACCAAGAAACTTAGGGACATAATGTTTAAGCTCTTTTTTTAAAACCAGCTTTCCTTCATCCTGCAGATGTACCGGCTGACCCTTCGTACCAGTAAGGAGTCTGTTTCAAAGCACCTTTGTGAGCTGCTCTCCCAGCAGTTCTGAGGCATCTGCCACACCATAGGAAGAGGAGGCCATTCCTGCACACTAGATGCCTCTGTCCATCTCATCCCAACTCTCTCCAAACCAGGGGCCTCCAAAAAGACTGTACTGCTCCCTGCCTGTTATTGTGATAACCTCTGTGTTCTCATTGCCTAGCCCGGGCCAGCATCAAGACAGATAAGCAAGGGGGGAGCAAAAGTATGGACCCTTGGTTGGACAAAATCAAATTGGGTTAGGGGAAGGATGCTGGGTATTGGTGCAGGGCATTCTTTCAGTAGTAATCATCCCCTTGGGCAAAAGGGCAATTTTTGGAAGAAAGCTAGCTTTCATCCCATGCTATAAACTGGTCCATCTCATTTTGGGATGAGGCTGAAATCTGTGGTCTTAATTCTTTACCCATTACCACTACTTTTATATGATTTAAGCTGGCATTTTAGTTTTGTTTACAGTATGTATCTTTATTTTCTCACCCATGGACTTTTTCCTTTCTGCTGAGGAAAGGGATAGCTTCTCTGGCTCCCCTTGAGCTGGCTGGTGGGGAATAGGATTGTGTGGGTATATGGCAAGGAGGGGGTATTCTTGTAGGCAGTTGTTTTGTGTTTCTTTGCCTTGTGTGTTTTCCCCAGGGATGGGGATGTAAATTCTCCTTTTCCTTTGCTATGATCATTCCAGTGTTACAGTTACGTGTACTTGTGGGAATGTAATTTTGACAGCAACTTGCCTCTTTCTTCAGCTCTAGAAGGAAACTACATGAAAATGAGAGGAAAAGAGACAATTTCTTTCCTCTTCTGCCTCCCCTCCCCATTGTTTCAATTCCCAGGAAAGAGTGCCTCAAGCAGTTACAAGAGTTTGGGAGATAGACTCTGGAATGCTGCCCTCCATGCATTTTGGAAAATAGAGGGGAAGGGTTGAGATCATGTTAGTTTGGGGGTGTTCCAGCTTTCCATGCTGGCCCGGGCTCCATGTTACTCTGCTGTGTAGGTGTTAACTAGCGCATCTTAGTTTATCTGGGTTTTGAATGCCTGTATCTATCTCCATGTGACTCTAATAAAACCGTGAGAGTGGGGGAGAGCCAGAATCAAGCCAGGCTGGGTCACCCCCACACCGCTGACTGATTTGTTGCATACTGCTCTTTATATGTGGACAGGGTAGAAATGGATAGAAAATAGTCCCATACCATACATTATATTTTCACAGTGTACCTGGCCCTAGCATTTGCAATAGATGTTCACCTAAGTTGTATGGAACTAGTTACATATAAGCTTAAGAATTGAGCCTCATCAGGATTCCTTTCTCCATACGGTGGAAAGTATGGAAATTCTGTCTTCCTTTGTGCAAAAACAGACAAATAAGGGTGACATCATAACAATGTTCCAATATCTCAGGGGCTGCCACACAGAAGAGAGAGTCAAGCTATTCTCCAAAGCACCTGTAGGCAGGACAAGAAGCAATGGATGGAAACTAATCAAAGAGAGAAGCAACCTAGAACTAAGAAGAAATTTCCTGACTGTTAGAACAATTAATCAGTGGAACAACTTTATTTACAACCATTATTGCCTACAACTGCATTCCAATCCCAATTAGTATTGTGAGGACTACCTGTAGTAATGGAGGAAGGCATCTTGAAAAGTCTGTGCTTTCCCCACTCCCACCATAGATAGTTTTAAAAAGTGTGACAATTAAAGTGGAAAACAATCATTTCAGTTATAGTCCTCTTAGAAAGCACAGTCTTTGCAAAATTCCACTTTCTCATTATTTTGCCCTTTGAGATTTCCAATACCTAAGGCCAAACAGTGTCATGACCAAAGTCTTTGGAGAGAAAAAAAATACTAGTTACTGTGATGACTCTCTCCCCCCTCCCACCCCTATACTCTTCAGTGTCCAAGATGCAAATTAAAGTCTCTCCTCTGCATCTGGCTGCCTGGTTTGGTTGGCTTAACTCCCTCAAGACCCATTAGACTATTTTAAAGTATGTAGATCAAAATGGCTCTACTCAGTATACCTTTTATTATACAGTGAAAAAAACTTGTATATGATCAAGGCTCTATGCATGTCCTAATGAAACAATGATAAGCAAATGCATAGTGTACAAACAGCTGGCTGTAAATAAGGGTAGTATTAATTTCAGTTAACATAACTCTCTTCCCTCTCCTCCACCGATTAATACACAGAGATGTCTTCTATTTGTAAGTGAATACATCAACTTTGCACATTGATTAGAATGCAGTACTGCAGGCTAATTCTGCCAACTGCCAGTAGTTCGATTTTGACCAGCCCAAGGTTGACTCAGACTTCCATCCATTAGAGTTTGGTAAAATGAGGATCCAGATTGTTGAGAGGCAATATGTTGACTTTGTAAAACTGCTTAGAGATGACTGTGAAATGATATATAAATCTAAGTGTTCTTGCTCTTGTTATGCTGAAATTTAAAAGGAAAATTTAGTTCTATAGTTCTAACTATCACAGTGCAGCTTGCATTCCTATTTATTTATATCCCACCTTTTATTATTTTTATAAATAACTCAAGATGGTGAACTTACATAGTATTTTCTCCTCTTTTCCTCACAACAACCTATGAGGTGGGTTAGGCTGAGTGTGAATGGCCCAAGGTCACCAGTTGGCTTTCATGCCTAAGGCAGGACTAGAATTTGCAGTCTCTTGGTTTCTAACCTGGTGCCTTAACCACTAGACGAAACTGGCTCTCAAGATTAATTGCTGAATTCTACATAATCACATCATGGTTATGGCTAAGACTGGCCCAAGCACTTTTCTTGATGTATAATGTATACTAAATTATCGAAGACAAAATTATGTAAGTGCATAATGTTCATTAAGTTATGAGAGACAAAATTCTTACCTACAGCTATTGTTAGCTGTATTGTCTCCTACTTACATAAAAGGGTAGAAGGAGAATGGAATTGCATTGAATTGTTCACTTTCGCCTGTTTCTGAAAGTACTTTCATAAATTCAAACTCCTTCTCTACAGCCTAATCATCAACTGCACAGAGAAAATTTCATTACAACATTTGAATGAAAAAAATGTCATTCTAACTATATTGAAGGGCTCTAACTCACCACTCCGAATTTCATTGGGTTCAACAAGACAACTCAAAATGCCGAATCTTCAGCTGTGAGAGCCTGTAGCGTGCAGGTTGCTAAAGATCGTAAAGCAAAGGTAGGTACATCTGTCTTCAAGATTAAGAAGAGCTGGTGCTGCCTCCCATGGATAACATAGGCTTTGTGCGTAGTGTAGACCATATAACAGTGCTGAGGACAATGGGAGAAACCAGCATGAAAGTCCTCCTGCAGAGGGACTGAAGAAAATATTTATTCATTTATTTATATTCCACCTTTATTACTTTTACACATAATTCAAGACAGTGAACACATCCAATGTATTTTCCACATTGTATTTTCCCCATAGCACCCTGTGAGATCTTTTGATTATGTTCTACAGGAACCTCTGAGGTTCATTTCATTTCCAAAGAAATGCAACAAAAAGATCAACTGTAGCATGCACTATTAGATATTAAAAAATACTGCTATTTATTCTAAAAAGTATCTCAACTTTCAACTATTTTAGTTTTATTAAAGATTATAGTGACTAATTTGTCATGTGCAATACAAGCACAAATTGGGAAATAACATGGTGCCTATTGATTCTTTTAGACACACGAGAGTTCTTCCAATTTTTATGAACAGTCAGATGTTTAAAAGCTCTATGCAAATATTTTTCTCAACAGAAAGGTGGGAACATACCTGTGTTTTCTTCTTGTTTCTCACAAGGAAAGTATAAGGAAGTAACTAAAACATAGAAAGAACGGAGGGCACGGAGCCGATTCTTCATGGACATTTCAGATCCTATAAGGAGATCAGGATGAGATTTTAGTAGGCCACCCTTTCATATGCCATAAATTGTCAGTGTTTTATGATTTTCAGAATTATTAAAATAGAAGGGGTCCTTAATTTATCCTCTAATATAAGATTGTATGAGCCATACCTTCAGTTGAAGCCCCATGAGGATGCACTGTAAAGAGGCTTTTCCTTTGGTCTTGATTAATTAGCAGTAACCTGTAAAAAATGAGCCCATGGCTTATATCTGGAGACAGAGTGGTAAAAGTATTGCCCTGAATGCCACAGGAGATTTTTTAAAAAGAGGACAGAAAGTGGTTTAACAGAGTTCACATCCTAAATGAAATCAGTTTCTTGGACTACCCAGAAATTTGAAACTCACCCCAGAACACTAGGAGAAAGGACAATGCCAGGTGGTAGGCATCTAGCAGGGCCTCTGGCACTTGCCTTCAGGAGATCCAGCAGCGGTTGCCAAAATTGATTAACTAGCTATGGAAAGAAAAAGCTTCAACAGACATTTGGCCCCAACTCTGCAGATCAACAGGCATCTTGTTACCCCTTAAGCAATCCCAGCACATTGAAATCACACCACTAAAAGTCAACAGCAAATGGCCACTATTGTTGATTTTTTAAAACTTGGCTGGACTTTAAAGGGTATGAGTGAGAGCAAAGGCCACCAAGAAATAAAGTGCTCCTATTCCCATTCTTAAAATCTCCAAAGTCAGATGAAAAATGTTATCATACCTCTCGCCCAGAAATTTGGGGTGGGGTATGTTGTGGCCATTAATCTGAAGGAGCTGAGCTGCACACTGTTGACCAAGCATGACTTTCATTAAGCCCATCATGTAAATCAGCAATGGACAACAAATAGAACAATAACTTTAACCAACAGTGTACTTTAGGAAAGGTGATAAGCTGCTCTTCTAGATAAACAGATCAGATACATTTGAGATACCACTCACCTCATCAGTCAGACACTGTAAGGAGGGATTAGGCCCACAGAGCAATACTACTTCCATATCAGGCACAAGCTGAAAAGTTAGGAAACGGTGGGGAATCTACTGGAACAAAGGGAGAGAGAAAAATTAGAAATATGGACTTGTGTATCCTCGGTTCCTCAAATTTTTAACCTGCTCACCGTGGGACTGCCTTGGGGAAGGTAAACAGGCAGATCGCGGGAAGTGTGTGGAGGAAGGGAATTTACAAGCCACACCAGTAGCATGGCCTCTGGGGCTGCAAGCTGACACCACTGTTCAGTTGCACATAAGATATGACCGCCCACAAGCAGACAACCAAATCGGGATTCTGCTGCACAGGCAAAGGCTTCTAAGCATTCCTGGATCAGGAAAGAACAAGAGAGCACTAAGATTTGTGTGTATGTATGCAAAGTAATGGATATAAGTTAGAATGATTAAAAACATTGACAGAAAAGATAATAAGAAGTCAGGCGTTATTATAAACTAGATGGGGTATCTAGAAAGTGGAGAGTTCCTTCTAACTCTTAATTATCTTTTATCCACTTCTTTCTTCAGTTTTCCATTTACTTTCAAATTATCTTGGTTTATTTTGGAAGGGAAATAAGAATGTAAGCAAAATACTATTTCCTGCAAATGCTAGAAATCTAGTCAGTAGACAAGGCAATTCCTCTTGATTGTGGGACATAGGCAAAGAGGAATGAGCACCTTTGTAACTTATAATTCTAGAATAAATTAAAAGACTAGTCTGCTTACAGAAGGATAACACGGGATTCATCATATAGCAAAGCAATGGTATTAATCTTCAGACATGTATCTCAAATCTGTACTTAGTTGCACAGTGCCTGATGTTGCCAGGACTATTCCAAATAGTATAAATATAGTGACTCTGAACAACCATTGACCTGCTGCATTTCTGTTATGGATAACTACATTCCATCTCTCAAACAATTTTTTTTCCAGAATAGGAGGCCTCACCTTCAGATATTTCTCCAAATTTCCCTTATCTCTCAATTTGTAACTCATCATCCATTATGAGATATAGATAAATAAATACAGATGATAAGGTGCAGCAAATGACGTTAGAGTACATACTATCAACACTTCCTTTACTTCCACTTATATCTTCTTGTGATTGAACAGCTACTGTACAAATCCAGAAAAGTTGTTGCTTTGGCAAGGAAGCAACAACAAGGTGTAAAACATATGTTCATGGCTGAACTAAAGCTTTAGGTTTGAAATACTCCACATTTCTAAGTTAATTTAAAATAAGTGTTTTGAGGGAGAAATTGTTCATAGATCTATTTTTTTAGAAGTATTTTTCCATCAGTTTCCAAAATCCCAGATGAAAGACTGAATGTGTTGAGTATACTGAAGGAGGAAGATAAAATTAGGTTGTCTCACCTGCAGAATTGCTCTGGAAGGCATCACAGTGCATTCCACACACTGGGTCAGATCAGCACAGCTTTTGCCTGGCTCCAGGAAACTGTCAATCAGTTTATAACATGACTAGAGAATTGTGCAAGAAATAATTAAATGGCCAAAGATTAAAATATACCAAACATTTAGTTTATTAGGTAATGAAATGAACAGTGAAAAATCTGCTACCACTAATTCATTGTCTTCTATTGCTAGAATTTCTTGATGTAATATAGTCCTGCATGCCTAATGAAGATATAAGCTGCAAGCTAAAGGCGGGTCATTCTAAGGGCAAAGAGTAGGCATAGAATGTTTCTCTATATAAGATTTGATACAAAAGCAACATCAGCAAGAAGTCTCTCAACTGATCAAAAAGTCTTTTATAGACAAAAAAATTTCCTAAAAAATGAATCCCTTGTTATCTCCTAAGTAAAATTTACTCTGCAGCCCACATTCTTGTCTTCCATTTTCATAATATAATATACACCTACTCCTCTGTTCATATTTCTAGTGACAGTTGGGTCAGACATTACCTTTAGATCCTTTTTGAGACGCTCAATGTTGTGAATATTTGTTAGTTCCTCCAGGCCCAGTACTAGTACCTGTATTAAAATACATCATGCCATTCAGATAAAGAAACAAGCCGTTGGGAAATCGGGTGAGTTTAGAAGGGAGAATAAGAGCACAGGAAGAAAGATATTTTCATACTTATCCTTAATCTTACAAATTTTTCCTGTAAAAATAGATTTACCGATCTTCTATATCACTGGAAAAAGAAACTCCAGATACATCATCATTTAATTTGCCATGATGAGAAAAATATGGCTTGTACAAGCTCATAGAATTTTTAAGCATATGCACATACATATACGTGCATATAATTCAACTGTTTTACTTAGAATTATTTATTTGCCCAATAGACTAGGTTTATCTTCCAGTTTCCTGTACAGAGATCATCTTTTGATCACTCACCATGGCATTGAAAACATTCTCAAGAAGCCTTCCAAGACTGAAGTCACTAGCATCTTCTTCTGAGGACAAGGCAATGAGGATGATGCTGGGAACAACAAACAAAAGAGAAATTGAAGAGATGTTTGAGTGCAAAACATTTGGAGCAAATAGACAGAAAAATATTTTTCCCATATTTTGCTGGTTTTCAAATTATGTAGAAGAAACCCAATATTTCTCCAAGGCTTACTAGAACTTGAAAATCATTAATAATAGATAAGATAGCTGCAAGAGATTGATAATTTCTAGGAATACTCTAACTCAGCTGGAATGTTCATAGTCAGTAAAAATTGCTTTATGAATATGGAAGAAGGAAAATAATTCTGTTAGAACCTTATCTTTCCATCTACTCTCTGAACAATGTTTATAACAACTCTGTAAATAAGAACTTATACCTCAAGTTGTTTTTTATTTCCTGCATTCCAATTTTTCCCCATTTTTATATTGTATATTTAAGAGCTCTGGAAACATATTTAGTTGAAAATATGAATAAAAACTGCTGATTTCATCTATGTTAAGCTGAAATAGTTGGAAGAATTTCTCTGCATATAAAGTACATTTTGAAGGTTAATAGAACTGGAAAATGAAATAAGATTCCCTGTTTACCCTTGTTTTCAGCTCTTTCTCATTTTAGCCATTCCAGTTTAGAACAGATGTCAGAAGTCTAAAAAAAGGCAGCATATATCTTGAGACACAAGAATAAAGAACAAATTTCTTAACCCTAGCCTTTTCTAATTCCTCCTCCTTAATTGAAATAATTGCACTTTGGTGAAAGAAATAGCAAAATGAACCTCCCTGAACCTAGGCAAACTTGTGGAATGAAAGAAAACCTTTCTCTAGACCAGTGGTTCTCAACCTTTTTAATGCTGCGACCCCCAACCAGTCGTAAGTTGAGGACTACCCAACCGGTCGTAAGTCGAGGACTACCCAACCGGTCGTAAGTCGAGGACTTTCCCTGCCCAGGAGCATTGCACATGCATGGTGCCTCCCCCGATGCCAGCCGAGGCATAGCTGGCAAGTGGCAGAGACGACGCAGGCTGACCACCGGCTGGGCCACCAGCTGGCCCAGCCCAAAGGAGGTAAGGCACCCGCCGGGCCCCACGCGTGCCAGCAACCCTCCCTGCGCCCGCTGGCCTCCCACCTCCCATCCCTGGCCCTCTTTTACTTACATTTTTAGTAGTTGCTCAGCAGGGAGGGATGGAAGCTTCCAGACAGCTCACCTTCGCTGCAGACAACTTGCAGCGCCGTTTGCAGAATGTGACTTTTGGCCGACTCAGCAGGGCAGAGATAGCCTGGACAATTACTATTGGCTTTTGAAAGCCAATAGAATTAGACTCTATTCAAGAGAGTCTATTCTATTGGCTTTCAAAAGTCAATAGAATAAAAGGGAGTAGCACAGCTAAGGAAAATGGGAAAAAAATGGCGGACTGCGTTGTTTGGCAACCCCCATGAAATGGTCGTTCGACCCCAAATGGGGTCCCGACCCACAAGTTGAGAACCACTGCTCTAGACTGTCTTACCATGCAATAAAAGTTATAATAATATCAATATGTTAGAATGCCTGCTTCAATAAGAAGGCCCAATGTTGTTGGAAAAGTTGGAAAATCTAAATAAAGAAAATAAAATTGAATTATGGCTATTTGTATATTAATGTTTTGATTTTACAGTTTATTCATGACAGAAGTAAGTAGTTATGTAATAGTCAATATTCCAGCAAATAAATATTGAATACCATTAGGATCATGTGTTATTTCACATAATTCCATGTTTATCAACAGCCAATGGGAAAACAGCAAAACCTAAAAACAGATTGTTACAGGCATATTTAATTCCATATCACACAATTTTCTCCTTCAAGAATTTTATTTGGTATGGAGAGGGCTAGAACACTTCATATTAAGAGAAATTCAGGAAATCAGAACCAGAAGGACCAGGATCAATTAAAAATAGTTGATTTGCATTGGATGAAGATATCTAGCATTCTGATTATTAGAAAAAGATTCTAGATATCAGTGTTGCAATTACTGAAGCATTGAATTTTTCAGTATTCTAAAATTGTTGATGCTAAGGATAAGTTCTAAAATCTGAAAGATCTTTAATTCTTGTAAAAATTAGCCAATAATCATTAATGTCTACTGAAGAAACAACTGCCTCCTAGAAACATGGCAACTGGGGGCATGCATATTCTTGATTCTGCATACCTATTGTGAAACACTTTCCACATCACCTGAATATTCTCTGTACGGGCTGCTATCAGCTGGACATCTAAATTGGACCCAAACATATGAACCCCATTCAGGGAGCCAATTACAGAAAAGGGTAACTAGGAAAGAAGAGATAAACATTAGTTTAATATTCATACAAGATCATAAAAAAAAAACAATGGGCAGCCAGGCAATTGAACTACCTATTTAGGTATTTGCTACTGTGTTTTTCTCACTTTTCTTAACAGAAAACTCTTAGCAAAATGAATTATGGCAGAGCCCTTGCCAAACCAGGGACATACCATAGCATAGCATAAGTTGGAAGGGATCTCGGAGGTCTTCTAGTCCAACTTTGGAGAATAGCTTGACTCCCTCTTCTCTGTGGCAGCCCCTGAGATATTGGAACATTGCTATCATGTCCCCCCTCATCCTTCTCTTCATTAAACTAGACATACCCAATTCTAGCAACCGTTCCTCATGTGTTTTAGCCTCCAGTCCCCTGATCATATCATTTTACCCATCCTCATAACCTGGATGACTTGCATTTTTAATTCTTCTGAGGTTTTTTTTTAACAGGCTAAGCTTTAAAAACTTTAATTTTAAAAAAATCTAAGTGTTTGAGCATTGAACTATGACTGTTCCCAACTAAACTACAAAACTTCTTAGACTGTTGTAGTAATGTAACATTTTGGTAAGCATGTATTTTCAATAGAAGAGAATATATGTAACTCATAGTTGAACTGTGGAAGTCCTTGTTGCGCTTTGAATTTGGTTATTTGGTTGCCAATTTCATTATGTCATAAGTGCTAGTGAGGGTGGAGTTTGCTACCTTTTTATATACAGTAACTTGCCCTGCCATAGTTGGTGGGGGTGTAGTTTTTTTCTTTGATTAGGATATTGTTTTCTGCTTGATTGTTTGTCTGATGTTGATCCCTGCTTATCTGAGTGTTGGCTTCTGGAGAACAGGGAGTAAACTCCACATTAACCACTGATATTACTTATTGGGTAACTGCAAGCAAACAACCCTGCTCAAAAGACATCGAGAACTCCACAAAACAAATATTTCTTAAAATAAATTCATTTACTATCATTTGGAACAAAAAGCAGGATGGATACCTCTCACCTGCTGCTTTGTAGACCCTCCTCTGCTCCTACAGTATAAGGGCACTCCACTACTGGCAGTAAGGCACAACAAGGTCACGGAATTCTCCGCCTCCTCCCACATCTTGAGACTGACAGTCTTTTTCCACACTAGACTGGCAGTGGGAGCAACTCTACCGAATGTAAAACTCCGCTCTTTCTATTCTTTTTGCCTAATATCCACCACATTCCTACTCTCAGAACTCATTGCCGCCATATTGAGTAATCCACGGTATGCCGGGATGTAAGCACACCCGATTCTATGGTAACAAGTGCTCATGCATGATTGGTTCTTTTCTTCTTTGCCCCCTCCCACCGGTCTGTGATTCGTTCACTCTTTCCGGGGAGGAAGGGGATAAGTAAAAGAACTCTTAATTATCGAGAGGGAATGAAAGATAAATTGACGATTCTTTCATGTGCGCATGCGTGCCTAAGCGGACCTGAAGGAAAGCGTTTCCTGTGGCTGTAAAACAAGTGAACTCTAAAGGCCGGATGTCTGTTTCGGGTACGGAGATGGGGGGGGGAGTACAAATGGGAGGGGGAGATAATTCAAAGTGGGAGAGGCATTTATTGAAGTGTTGGGGGGAGGGTGAAAGAAGATCCGAGTTCGAGGCACAAATAACCTTCCTACTTCTCCTCCATAGCCTCGTTTCAGCAAATCCAAAACAACCCCCTTCCTTTTTTGTGGCTTTGGTTTTAATAAATTAAGCTTTGAGAGTAAAATCAGAGCAAACAAAGCCTAAGCTGTTGCGGAATTAATATTTGTTTTTCAGTTTCTTAATTTACGGAACTCATTGTAACAACAATGTATTCATTGTACAGCTAATAGTCTGGTTGATTTTTAAAAAGGAGGTATATCCACGAGCGCCGTGTTAACAACTAAAGGGCATGGCAACTAGCTAGTGGCTATTGGAATAGCTCATGATGGGGGTAGTAAAGGTGAAGAACAAGAGGGAGTTAGTTATGTTCCTCCTTTCTTGGAGGCTTCTTATAAATATCTGTTAACTGCTCTGGGAATTAAATGTTGGTCTAAATCAACATTGCCCAGAGCCCTCCGTGTGTTTTGAACATACGGAGTGAAAAATACTGGAACTGATCAATTTTGGGGGGGTTCTCACTCATACTTCATAATCTTAGGCTCAGAAGGCTAGTTCTGTAATAAAGCAACATTTAGAGGTAAAGCTTTGGGTAGCAGGAATTTTTACTTTGAACAAATGAGGGATAATGATGCCCATTGTAGTTCATTTTGCCTCTTCTTACATTTGCTTCCATTCCATTTTCATTTATTAGTTTCCTACTTTTCTTTTTCTTTCACTAGTCTAATGTAAATAATTTTCTTGTCTAGAGATACTTCACTTATGTTGTACAGCATTCAGTCCTCTTTTAATACTGAATAAATACTCATTTATTTCAACCAGCTTTTGTCTTTAATATTTTGTTTTACTACTCTTCTATATTCTCACATTATGGTAGCTGAAGGAGATGGTGGTACCAATGCTGGACATGCCTGCTCAACCTATCGGGATGGTTTCTGATGTTGTGTTCGTTATTGAAGGCACTGCTAATCTTGGACCTTATTTTGAATCTTTGCGCAAGCATTATCTTCTTCCTGCAATTGAGTGAGTATTCAGAGTCTCTGGGTATCATTTGCTTCCCTTGATTTTTGTCAGCTGAGGCTGCAGGTAGAAAACAATGCTAGTAAAATGTGATTGGCTGTTATTGTGTTTTGTGTATACAACTTGTATTCTGACTTTAGTAAGCCTGGTTTTATGTATTCATAGTTTGTAGAAACTCTTCTGATGAAATATATATGATGCATTTCTATGTTGGAGTATGTTAGAACACAGTTGGTAGTAAAATAGAGGGCTCATTTTTTCTTAGTTGAAGAAAAGAACTTCAAATGTATAGAAAGAATAACCTTCTAGATTGCAAATGGTGAAGTCTCAGGCAGCCTAAAAGAAAAAATTGAGAATAAAATGAACATCCCAGATTAAATTAACAAACCCAAACTGATAATAGATTCACAACATTTAAATTAGATAAAACAATATATGCAGTGTCAAAGTAATCACTACCATTAGTAAAGTGAGGGAGTCTTCTCAGATAACAGATACAGAGCTTTCCAGCTATATACCATGTCCTAAGCCTGTAGCTAATCTAAACCAACTATCTTGTTACCAATGTTATAAAGTTTCTCCAATCAACTCCTTCTGCAAAAACCAGGAAGGCATAATATCACTTTATATGCCTCAGATAAGAAAATGTCTTAGGTAGCACTAAGAGCTTTTACAATTTATTCTTAGCTCTACCAAATTGGCAGGTGATAAAACATATTAAATAACTGAACCAGAATACCATTCATGCACTTTAATGATTTCAATGTATCCTGAGCAAGATAAAAACAAAAAAAACAGATGTTCGGTTTTGTCTATAAAGTTGTGCATGATACAGAGCCAGATTGTTGAGGGATTGCCTGGCTCCCATAAAATCTGATCAGGGTTGGTGCATTTAATTAAGTAGTGATCTCTTAGGACCCTATAAGGGTGCCTTCTATGTAGCAGTGCCTGCACTCTGAAAAAAGAGATCTGGATCTTCCCCCTGAGGTCCAAATGGTCCCCACAGTTGTTTAGAAAAGGTCTGAAGATCTGGATCTTAATTCACTCAGACTTTTGATGAGGGAAAGTAAGACCATATGTTTCATCAGGCTTGCTCCCTTTTATCTTTGTTTTATTGATTTTATTGTATTGGTTGTTATTGTGATATGCCCAGAGTCATTTGAGAGTTGAGCAGCATACAAGTTTAATAAATTACTATAGGTCAGTGATGGCAAATGTTTTGGGCTTGGTATGTCAAAAATTCAGAAAATGCCTACCTTGACTCTGCTGGCATGTCAACCTCCCCACCCACCCTACAACAAAACAGGCTTCTCTGCATCTCCTGTCCAGACTCTCTCCTCCAGATTCTCCTCTCCAGAGCCTTTGAAAATTGTACAAGAGGCCGCTGCTCTTGCAGGGCCCCTGTAGCCTTAGAAAATCACATGAGAATACTTGCACAAATTTCAAATGCCAAAAAGTTGCCCAAGAACAAAGCCCTCTTCTGTGATTTCCAGAGTGTCCAGAGACTTAGCATGTCACCAAAAATTGTGTGGTATGTCACTGGTGACATGCATATTATCAGTTTGTCATCACTGTTACAGGTACACAGAAATGTGAAATCCCAGCTGCCAGTTCTTTAGCTGGTATTGGCCTTCATACATATCAAGTTCTTCTCAAGAATCCAGGATGTTGTAATGTATTGGCATATATGTCTGCAGATCCAAACAAGCCTTTTGTAGTTGACAGATTGAAATTTTGTTAATATGTGGGTTTTCTGTGTGCCAAATTTTTGGTCAGGCACATACTGGTTGCCACTGGGACAACCAGAGCAATTTTTATGCCATAATCTTTCAATTGTGATTTTTCTTTTGTGATCTACCATTGCCCGGTGTTGCCATATTGATTATCCATATTTTTTTCTTTCTAA